TAAAAACAAGAAGTTAGAAAAGTCGAAAAGTTGACATTTTTTCCAAGGGGTTAACCCATGGTTGTGGTCCAACAATGGCCATTTTTCCAACGTTTTTTTTTTAGGAAATATAGGGCAGGAAAATTTCTTTTACAATATTCTAGAACGAAAAAACGCCTTTCTAGGCTATGAAAACAAGAAGTACAAAAAGTCGAAAAATTGACATTTTTCCAAAGGGGTTAACCCATGGTTTTGGTCAAAATTTTAACATTTTCTCTCAGTTTGTTTTTCTTTAAATTAGGCCTACATATACTGTTTGATTTCGTTCTAGAGAAAAAACAAGGCTTTCTTGACTATAAAAATGACATTAGAAAAGGTCGAAAAATTGGAATTTTTTCGAAGGGGTTAACCCATACTTTTGGTCAAAATTTAACATTTTCTCTTATTTATTTATTTTTTTAAAATAAGGCTAAATATACTGTTTGCTTATCTTCAAGGGAGAAAACAACCCTTTCTAGGCTATAAAAATGACTCTATCAAAAAGTCGAAAAATTTGGATTTTTTTAAAGGGGTTAACCCATGGTTTTTGTCAAAATTTTAACTTTTTTTTTGGCGTTTGTTTTTTTTTTAGAATAGGCCTAAAGATAATGTTTGATTTCGTTTGAGAGAAAAAAGACGGCTTTCTAGACTATAAAAATGACATTAGAAAACGGTCGAGAAATTTGGGTTTTTTCAAAGGGGTTAACCTATGGTTTTAATCAAAATTTTAACATTTTCTATCAGATTGTTTTTCTTTAAATTAGGCCTAAATATACTATTTGATTTCGTTCTAGAGAAAAAAGAAGGCTTTCTAGACTATAAAAATGACATTAGAAAACAATCGAAAAATTGGGATTTTTTCAAAGGGGTTAACCTATGGTTTTGGTCCAAATTTTCAAATTTTCTCTGAGTTTGTTTTTCGTTAACTTAGGGCAAATATACTGTTTGATTTCGTTGTAGAGAAAAAACAAGGCTTCCTAGACTATAAAAATGACATTAGAAAAACGTCGAAAAATTGGCATTTTTCCAAAGGGGTTAACCCATGGTTTTGGTCAAAATTTTCAAATTTTCTTTCAGTTTGTTTTTCTTTAAAATAGGCCGAAATATACTGTTTGAATTCGTTCTAGAGAAAAAACAACCCTTTCTAGACTATAAAAATGACATTAGAAGAAAGTCGAAAATTTAGCATTTTTCCAAAGGGGTTAACCCATGGTTTGGGTCAAAATTTTCAAATTTTTTTTGGTTTGTTTTTCTTTAAATTAGGCCTAAATATACGGTTTGCCTATCTTCAAGAGAGAAAACAACCCTGTCTAAACTATAAAAATGACATTATTAAAAAGTCGAAAAATTGGGATTTCTTCTTCTTTCCATGGTTTTGGTCAAAATTTTAACATTTTCTGTTAACTTGTTTTTTTTTAATAGGCCTAGATATACTGTTTGATTATTTTGTAGACAGAAAACAAGGCTTTCTAGACTATAAAAATGACATAAGAAGAAAGTCGAAAATTTGGCATTTTTTCAAAGGGTTTAACTCATGGTTTTGGTCAAAATGTTAACATTGTCTCTCAGTTTGTTTGTTTTTTTAAATAGGCCTAGATATACTGTTTGATTATATTCCAGATAGAAAACAAGGCTTTCTAGACTATATAAATGACACAAGAAGACGGTCGAAAATCTGGCATTTTTTCAAAGGCGTTAAAGAATGGTTGTAGTTAAAATTGTAACATTTTCCCTCAGTTTTTTTTTTAAGTAGGCCTAGATATACTGTTTGGTTATATTCTAGAAAGAAAACAAGGCTTTCTACACTAAAAATAACAATAGAAGAAAAACGAAAAATTGGCATTTTTCCAAAGGGGTTAACCAATTTCTTCTTAGTTTCGTTTTTCTTATAAAGGCTTAGATACACTGGTAGATTATATTCTTCATAGACAACACGGCTTTTCCAAAGGGGTTAACCCATGGTTTTGGTCAAAAGTTTCTCTCAGTTTGTTTTTCTTTTAATAATATACGTGAAAAAATTTCTCGATTGTTATTGGCCGAGAAAAATGCAGTTTTTTGGTAACACGGTGCACAAAAAAGGTAATTGAGTGCAGAAAAGAGTAACAAACGTGACATTCTGATTGGGTAATAAACAAAGGAACTCACTGAGAGCCAATCAATAGTGCCATCTGAATGGCGCAAAATTTGGATCCGCTCCGGACCAGTTTCGAACAAAAACCGCAATGGCTGGCGTTTGTAGCACATTTGCTTTTCCGACCGAAAGAACCATGGAGGAGCTGAAAAACTGCTCTAAAAACGAAAACACTGCGAAAAGCACTGGTTTTTGGCTCTCTGTTTGGAAGAAGTGGTGCGTAGAGAAGGAAATTGCTGATGAAATAGAAAATTATGAGCCGGCTGAACTACAGTAAAATAATGACCATACACTGCTGTCTTCAGGAATGTGTACAGGAGCGATGAAAATATGCAGACAGCTACAGGTCACTTGCTGTGACCATGCACGACCTCAGCAAGATAAGAGGAACAGACAGTGACTGTCTAAGTACTGACAGAGTATGTATGCCAGGTATCCTGGATTTCATAGGTTAATAGGTGGTTGTTTTCTCAATTGCCACAGCAAAAGGGGCAGACATCAGGGATCCAGGGGTTGAACAGTAGAAGCAAGGAAGAACAACCAGTATGAGTTTCTGGTTTCCATACTCACTGGTTTCAAGTGCTGTCCGGTTCTGTGATGTCTGATCTCCTATGTTGTGCGGATTAAGTGCACACCGGCTTCCGCGTACTTGCGGTTCATCGGCTTTGCACCATCCACTAGTTCAACTTTCAGAGAAATCCGGCCATACACAAGCATCCAGGAACTGTGAGGAATCCAGTCTCATACGTAGTATCTTCCACGAGTTTCTAGTAAAGTATCTGGAACTATAAGCGAAAGGGCAGACGTCTGGGAAGCACCTGTGGATTGATGATCATGACAAGTGTAGAGGAACAGTTAGTATGAGTACTGACTGACTAATGTTGGGTATCATGGATTTCATAGGTTTAGGTGGTAGGTTCCTCAACTGTATGGTTGACACCATAGCAAAAAGACGTACTTGTAGTTGACGACAACTGACAGGTGCAGGAAAACAGTGAGATTGACTATAGGTCTGATTTCCATATCAAAGCAGGTTCTGTCTGATTTCCTCCTATGTGATCTATTGACAGTCTGTAGCCCAATATTTTCTTCATCAGCAGAACAGAGTGGTGAAATTCCTCAGGTGTCAGGCAGGGTTAACCATGGGACAACTGTTGGGAATTAGAAGCTCGTTTTTCTGACCAGTGCTACGAACAGGCTTTCTGCGAACATAAGCGGGAAAAAATCAAGGAATGTTCCATCCCCACGAGTGTGTGAAGTTGCTCCAATTCGCTCTGTAACGAACCTTTAAATTCTTGAACCGTAGCAGGTAAGCCGTCAATAGATTAACGTAGTTCTTCTCTGTTGGCTAATATTTAGCTGCTGCTGTTGTTAGTGTGTATTACCCAAATCCAATCAACGCTGATTGATAACAGATGGGGCTGCCCTGGCATAAATTTCAAACGTAGCAGGCGTCCGAATCGAATCGTGCGTTTTTAATCGTTATCGTTGAAAAGCTCTTGCTGCATTGAAAACTCAATTGTTTTTTAGAGAAGAAATCAAAATGTACATGCTTGATTTCGTCCTGACCGTTTACTTCGCTGGGCTCCAGTTGAACTAAAAAAGGATTTGACTTTGTAAAGAGCATTGGCTCAATTGTGAGAAAGATTATACTGCGCTGCCAGTAGAATATCCATTTAAAAAGCATCGCCTGAAATACGCCAAGTTTTGCTGGGTTACTTAATTCCACAAATTTTGCTCTCTACATTTCGCAGATCGAGTCACGTTTAGGTATAATTAACGATGTTAACTTTCTCCCCACTCCAATTGTTAAATTTTTCGCGCAAAAATTTGAATCTGATTCTAGAGCAGATCCCTAAAAAAAATTAACATTCATAAAAGAGACGGATACTTTTTTACAAGGCATATTTTTCATAAGTGCTTTTTTAAATTTCAATTAAAATTAAACGTAAAAATCTCGCCCTCAGGTACTGTTATATCTACTGTAGTTACGAACAATTGATGGTGAAATTAAATTTTTCTCAAAAGGCTGTGACGTCACGGTTGTCTGGTTCATTTTGTTAATAATGCCGATTACACATCCTCATTCGCTATGGGACTTAAGAAATTACTTGTGAATGACAAAATCACAGCTTGGTATGAAACAGATATCTCTCAAGAATTATTTCAAATGTTACAAACATTGGCAGTTCCCACTGTTTGAAATTCGATAAATTTCGTGAGACAGTTCCTTTAAATGAGCAGACTGTAGCAGGGGCAGATTCGGGACTTTTCACGGAGGGGTGCACCACGAAGGAATGGTGTAACTGACTGGTGACGTAAACAAATTTTAAAAGCGAATACCAAGAAGGCTTTTGACCAGCCAATTACATAATGTGAAGTTCTGAGGATACATATCAAACAATACAGCAGATTGCGACTGTATAGTGTTAGGAGTCACCTCAGGAGGGGGAGGGGGTGGGGGTGCGCAACCCCTGCCCCCTCCCTTAGATCTGCCCTCTGTGTAGGCAGAGGACACAGAACATGTAATATGTGAAATGCCAGATGCGCGCACAAGAAATACAAGACTAAAGAGTGCGCGCGCAAAAGAATTACTAAAACGGCAATATAGAAAAGTTGGCAGATTACTCACAGCACTACATTTATACGTATTTTGAACTCCCTCTCATTCTGAAGAAAACCTGGTTTTTTTTTTGGAGGATTCAAAAGATCTAAAACCTGCGGACACAAATTATATTCTTCAAAAGCGCGGGTGCAGTTCTCCAAATTCCACAAATGACGGCAAATGTGATTATGACGTTTCAGGCGTAATTAACGAAAGCTCAAAATTTGTTTTTCAAAGTCAAGAAAGATGTTCGGACCCGTCTGGGCAATTTTTCTTTCGGCGCAAGAAGCGATAAGGAAGGTTTTTTACTCTGATGTCGACAGCAAGAAGGAAAATGTTCGTAACTCAAGGTGAGGCATTTTCTGGCCTTTCGGAGTGTCAAAAAGAACTTTTTTTTAACATCGATACTTTCGAAAGACAAATTTCACATGTCTGAAATCATTTTGCTCTCTTTTTATAAGCTGTATTTATATGGCGCTGAATCTTTTTGGCGTAGTTAATTAGAAGCAGCTCGAGACTTAAGCCGAAAAAAAATCCGATGGTTACGCCTTTAGCGCGAGATATTGGGCAGTTTCTTGTAGCTCATTAAGGCTCATGGATCAACGGCTAGTCAATCACTTATTGGTGGAAATGTTCATAATGTCACAAAAAAAAAAACATTCTAAGGTTACACAATAGACCTACTTAAATAAAAAAAAGAGAAATTGAAAACATTCTTGCAAGAGAAGCAAACATGAAAAATTGCGATAGTTTTTTCCGACGACCGGTCGTTTCGCCAACGCCTCTTAAGTCGTTTCCCTGACGTACTATGTCAAACAAAACTTGGCGCTTGCCTTGCTCAAAATACTCAGAGATCATAGTAGATCCATGGAAATCCAGAAAGTATCAGCTGAAGTGCTTAATCCAGTATGAAGGAAACAGTTCAACGCAAAGATAAAATGCGGGAAAGTAGACCGGGGCTCGAGCTTTATTAACTCACACTTCTGCGTTTACTTGCAAATTGTACTTTCAAAAGTGAGAGGATTCATGTAGTCTTAAAAGTTTAATCTACGCAAACAAAGCAAGACAGTTAGGATGCGAGAAAAATAAACATCGTACGGGACATTATTCTTCTTGAGTAAGAAGCTCACCTCATAAAGGAAAATAATTTGGATCTTAGTCCTCGAACTGACTAAAAAAAAGTAACAATACACTATTCTATGACTTATAAGCCTTATAATGCTCGCGAATCATATCGAATCCATCTTTTAATAAGGTTTTTACTTCTGGATCACGACTGAAAGACATTACGTTTGCCAGTTTGCAGTTCGGTCAGTTAGAGCACAAAATTGATGAAAAATCAAAAAAGGCAACTTAGCAACTTGAAAATTATTTGTACCTAAATCAAATGCTTTAGACGCTGATGATATTAGCAGTGTTCAGTTCAAGTCAATGCGAGTGAAACTAGAAAAAAACCAGACTTCAACCAGGGCTTTAGACATTGAGGATCAAAAACTTCCAACGCTTTTGACAAAGATGCTGAAGTAGCGTTTAAGTTCAAGTGTCATGCTAGTGGAAGTAGAAAATGATCAAACTTCCAACGGCAGCTTTAGACACTGACGATAATATATGAACAGTGCTTACTTCTGAGAGTGTCTGCAATTGAAACTAGAAAATAACGATCTTCCAAGTGTTCACTTCTGGGTGTTGTGCCCGGGGGCGGGGGGTACTTTAAAAATTTCTGGGTGGGGATGTGCCGCTGGGACCCTGGAACCCTTGACCTATACCAGAGCTAGTTCAACTGAATTTTGCTACCCTATACTAGAGTGAGCTCCTTAAACCCCCCCTATCCTGGAGTAGCTGTTTCCCTAGTCTAGATCAAATCTTCAACCAACTGACCAGTTTCCTCAAAAATGATACCCTATTCTAGAGCCAAATGCTCTGATTTATATACCCTATCCAAGAGTAAACTGCTTGAAAACCATACCCATCACAGCGGCACATACTCGTACAGCCCATATATGGCAGCACCCCCCCCCGCCCCCGCCCCCCGGGTGTTGTGCAATTGAAAATAGAAAATAACCAAACTTTCAGAGCTTTAGACATTGATGATTGTAGAAAATAGTAAAATAACCAAACTTCCCAGTGCTTTAGACACTGATGAAGACTATAATAGCACTGCTCACTTCTGAGAATGTCATGCAAGAGAAACAAAGACACTGATTAATGATCTAATCACAATGATAATACTAACGATTGGTATTTTGTAGGATTGACAAGCAGGTCAGTGACCACACTGAACTCAATGCTGAGGCAGCTGAGTTCATACCAGCCACGAAGGTTTGTGTTATGGCTACCTGAAAAATAATGTGAGCAAAACAAAACATTAAACCTAGTACACAAAATAACATCATTAATTTGGTGGATAGTATATAATTATGTTCTGTTTGAACATCCCCACCTATATTTGCCACACAAGAGGGAGGGTAGGAAGGGGCAATGTCAGAGCGAATTGGACGTTGAATATGTCATTATTTTATAGTGTTGTTTGACAAAATCAAGAAAGAGTGAGAACTAGTGCAAGATAGGTGAAATTAATCAAAACTATTTCTTCCCCTCAGATGATCAAAGTTAAATCAGATTAAAGTAACCTTGCATAATTTTTGTTTATAAAGCTGTCAGAAATTCCAACCGTGGATGTTGAGGGAAAGGACAAAGAGAATACAAGGTATGATCGTAGATAGTTACCAGAGTACACTGTATTTTTTTATTTCTCTACCCTGCCAGTGTTAAGATCTTAACAGCACATTTGGGGTGATGCCTATCACACAACTGGCAAAATTGCTGGCTGGTCATCACAGACATAACAGCCACTCAAAGAAAATGACTTGTTCTCCACACATCCTTTCCCTGATTGCTCAAAATGCACTAAAATTTTGTAGGAACCCAATTATAGTTTTCCCCAATAAGATCCCCAGAGGGAGGGGGGAAAAACTAGTCTAAATCTCCTCCTCCATCTACAAGTACCCCTACATGCTGGTGCCTTTTGACCAAACGGCACCCCCCCAAAAGTCTACCTATACATCTAAAGGCTAAAATTTCCTGATGTAAAAAATTACATGAAACTGCAGAGAGACAAATGTGATGACTTGAATGCCATACAGGCTGTACCTTTGGTTGGCCTTGATTCATGCTAAAAAACCCATTTAAGTACCGTAAAATGTTTGTTTACAGGTAGATATGCCTATCACAGGCTGTTTGGTCAAAAGGCACCGGCAAGAGAAACAAAGACACTGATTAATGATCTTAAATGACAATGATAATACTAACGATTGGTATTTTGTAGGATTGACAAGCAGTTCAGTGACCACACTGAACTCAGTGCTGAGGCAGCTGAGTTCATACCAGCCATGGAGGTTTGTGTTATGACTACCTGAAAAATAATGTGAGCAAAACAAAACATTAAACCTAGTACACAAAATAACATCATTAATTTGGTGGATTAGTATATATGTTCTGTTTGAACATCCCCACCTATATTTGCCACGAAGGGGGAGGGGAGGAAGGGGCAATGTCACAGCAAATTGCACCTTGAATATATTATTAGTTTCTAGTGTCGTTTGAGAAAATCAAGAAAGAGTGAGAACTAGTGCAAGATAGGTGAAATTAATCAAAACTATTTCTTCTCCTCAGATGATCAAAGTTAAATCAGATTAAAGTAACCCTGCATAATTTTTGTTTATAAAGCTGTCAGAAATTCCAACCGTGGACATTGAGGGAAAGGACAAAGAGAATACAAGGTGCGATCGTAGATAGTTACCAGAGTACACTGTATTTTTTTATTTCTCTACCCTGCCAGTGTTAAGATCTTAACAGCACATTTGGGGTGATGCCTATCACACAACTGGAAAAAATTGCTAGCTGGTCGTCACAGACATATTAACAGCCACTCAAAGAAAATGACTTGTTCTCCACACATCCGTTCCCTGATTGCTCAAAATGCACTAAATTTTGTAGGAACCCAATTATAGTTTTCCCCAGTAAGATCCCCAGAGGGAGGGGGGAAAAACTAGTCTAAATCTCCTCCTCCATCTACAAGTACCCCTACATGCTGATGCCTTTTGACCAAACGGCCCCCCCCCCCAAAAGTCTACCTATACATCTAAAGGCTAAAATTTCCTGATGTAAAAAATTACATGAAACTGCAGAGAGACAAATGTGATGACTTGAATGCCATACAGGCTGTACCTTTGGTTGGCCTTGATTCATGCTAAAAACCCATTAAAGTACCGTAAAATGTTTGTTTACAGAAAGATATGCCTATCACAGGCTGTTTGGTCAAAAGGCACCGGCAAGAGAAACAAAGACAGTGAGATTAATGATCTTAAATCACAATGATAATACTAACGATTGGTATTTTGTAGGATTGACAAGCAGTTCAGTGACCACATGGAACTCAATGCTGAGGCAGCTGAGTTCATACCAGCCATGGAGGTTTGTGTTATGACTACCTGAAAAATAATGTGAGCAAAACAAAACATTAAACCTAGTACACAAAATAACGTCATTAATTTGGTGGATTAGTATATATGTTCTGTTTGAACATCCCTACCTATATTTGCCACAGAAGCGGGAGGGGAGGAAGGGGCAATTAATGTCACAGCAAATTGCACCTTGAATATATTCTTAGTTTCTAGTGTCGTTTGAGAAAATCAAGAAAGAGTGAGAACTATAGTGCAAGATTGGTGAAATTAATCAAAACTATTTCTTCCCCTCAGATGATCAAAGTTAAATCAGATTAAAGTAACCCTGCATAATTTTTGTTTATAAAGCTGTCAGAAATTTCAACCGTGGACATTGAGGGAAAGGACAAAGAGAATACAAGGTGCGATCGTAGATAGTTACCAGAGTACACTGTATTTTTTTATTTCTCTACCCTGCCAGTGTTAAGATCTTAACAGCACATTTGGGGTGATGCCTATCACACAACTGGCAAAATTGCTGGCTGGTCGTCACAGACATAACAGCCACTCAAAGAAAATGACTTGTTCTCCACACATCCTTTCCCTGATTGCTCAAAATGCACTAAAATTTTGTAGGAACCCAATTATAGTTTTCCCCAGTAAGATCCCCAGAGGGAGGGGGGAAAATCTAGTCTAAATCTCCTCCTCCATCTACAAGTACCCCTACATGCTGGTGTCTTTTGACCAAACGGCCCCCCCAAAAGTCTACCTATACATCTAAAGGCTAAAATTTCCTGGTGTAAAAAATTACATGAAACTGCAGAGAGACAAATGTGATGACCTGAATGCCATACAGGCTGTACCTTTGGTTGGCCTTGATTTATGCTAAACACCAATTAAAGTACCGTAAAATGTTTGTTTACAGGTAGATATGCCTATCACAGGGAGTTTAATATTATTGTAAATATAGAATACCATAATTTTACACTGTTGTTTACTTCAAGATGATGCCAATTTTAAAAACTTCACCAGGAACGAAATGGATAAATTAATGGGTTTGAAGATTGAAATTTATTTCAACAGAACTGAAGACATTATTGTACAAAGCCATTTAAACCCAGAAGCTCAGGTCTTTGTCCCATCTGTGAAGGTATGTATTTTCATAAAACAAGTTTAAAAAAACAATAACTTGAAAGAAAGTATCATGGGTATGTGGCCGTTGCCATTGGGGAGCATTCATACACCATCAGTTTCTCCTCAATAAAATATCATTTATATAACATCTTACTAGTAATATTAAAGAACAAAAAAAAGTAAGTTAAAGATCCCACTGCCACTTTCAAAGAAATTATTAATATGAAAACAACCATAGAATATTGAGAATGAGGATTAACAAACTTCACTGCCTTAATAACTGTAAGCTTTTTACTTTTCCATATTACATACATATACAGTATTAATTTGTTTATTTGATCACATTGTTTTTAAATTTGCTTCAATTGAAATAAAGCAATATCAGGGCGAACACGAGACACAGAAAGCTAGTGGTATAGGTCTTTATAAAAGTTCTCAAAAAAATAAGGGTAATTTTCCACTGGCTGAGTGTAACAAATTAAGTGGAAAATGTATTTCTCACACACCGCTGGGAGCCTGGGTATAGGTCATGTGACTGTAGGGCAGGCAGTTGCTTTTGTTGCGTCCGCCATTACTGACCTTCCCACCCACCCACCCTAAGATTTCACTTTTGTATGCTGTTTAATGCACGGTGCAACTTTGTAGTTTTGTTAGCGTCCTACCTTTCTGAGGTTATGATATGTATGCATTTTTTGACTTTAAAATAAAGGTCAGGCTGCGGCGGTCAGCTTGGCATGGCTACCAGTGGCGTGTGAGAATTTCAATTATTTGTGGTCAAATTAAAAACAATATTTAATTATAAATTATTAGCCTGCTGTTATGCAGGTGAAAATAAGCATACTGACAAGTCAAGTAAATTACTTTAAACCCTAAAACCAGATAGGATTCAAACAATACAGAGGATGATGACAATACGTGTTCTCTAGCTACCAGTATTAGTAGTCAATAAAAGTTCATCTGTCCTTGATTGACTTCTTGGTGTTTCCTGTTCTAGCCACTTACTACTGATCAGAGGCCTTTAAGTAGCAGGTAAGACACAAAACTTGCTTCTAATAACAACTGGTAATAACCAAAGGTTAGGAAGAGAGTCATCCTTGGAGACCTGGGGGTGTTCAGTCGGGTCGGGAAAAAAGGTGGAAAAAATTTTTAAAAATGGTTGAGAGACCCTCATGGTGCTTGTTCTTGAAAACTTTCACCACCATTTTTCTCGACCTCAGTGACCACCTCTACGGGTCTCCAAGGATAAAATTGTGTGGGTAAGATTATAATGAACTTAACACTATTGCTCCAACACTGTAATAGCAACCAGGGGCCGGTTGCTCGAAGCCCGGTTAGCGCTAACCCTTGGTTAAGAGGTATCAAAATGTATAGGTTTCCATGGTATTTAACGCTGGTTAGCACTAACCATGCTTCGAGCAACCCGGGCCATGCCAGGAGGTTATAATTTGCAGGCTTCTCTACATACAGGTGTATTTATAGTTAACCGCAATTATTTGTCGCATTGTTTCCCTGGAACCTATATTGTCCTATGCTGAAGATCATCTAAACTACCAGTTTTGACCAAAGTGACAAGTCTTTTTCAGTTTAAGATTATTTGTAAATAAAGAATACCATGATTGATTTTTTTATGCTGCTGTTTACCTCAAGACAATGCCAATTTCCTAAAAATTATCTTCACCATGAATGAAATGAATAAATTTCTGGGTTTGAAAAATAAAATTTATTTTAACAGAACTGAAGACATTATTCTACAAAGCCAATTAAACCCAGAAGCTCAGGTCTTTGTCCCATCTGTGAAGGTTTGTATTTCCACAAAACAAGTTTAAGATAATAATAACTTTCAAAAAAGTTAATCATGGGTATGCGGCTTAATTGCCATTCTGGAGCACTCATACGCCATCAGTTTCTCCTCAATAAAATATCATTTAATATAATATCTTACATGTACATGTAATTACCAAAGAACAACAAAAAGAAAGTTAAAGTTCTCCCTTCCACTTTTAAAGAAATTATTTGTGTTATTATGAAAACAAATAACCATAGAATACCAAGAAATTATGAGGATTAACAAACTTCAGTGCTTAAATAACTGTAAGTTTTTGCCTTACCGATCATATCCTGAGGAGCATCTTATAAAGGGAAAGGCTTATTGTCTGACCATGGCAACAATTTTACAGCCACAAAACACATCATGTGTTGTTATTGTTTGTAATGTGTGACTTTTTCGCTTTTGTTTTGAGAGTGAAAGCACCGTAATTAGTAACTTCTGGAAGCAAATTGTTGTAAGAACAGCGAACATGGTCAACAAAATTTTCCCGTAATTCTGGGTGCGCCTTATAAAAGGGTATTTAGGTGAAATTTTGATTTTGCTTACTTGTCACAATCGTCTTCGAAAGTTTAGGGTGCGTCTTATAACCGAGTGCGCCTTATAAGTAAATAAATACGGTATTTAGGAAAGAAGATACTTAAATATACATGTAGTAGTAAATTAAAGGATTTTTTTTCTGTGCATACTGCAAACAGTTATCTTCTTCTTGTTTTAATTTGCCGGTACTGTATTTCACAAACATTTCCACAAAATTTTATGGATAGTAAGTTGTGGTCCCTCAATTCTCTGAAATCTAGAAGAACATCTGAAGTATATTTCAAAATGTTACAGAAAAGAAAAAGAAAGTTTCAATTTAAATTTTGCTGACCAATTTTTGTCTGACAGAATTTCAGCAGAGCTAGACTGTGTGAAAATGAGCACAGAGCACAACAACCGACAACATACATTATGAGACCTGCATGCGTTGATCCCAGTTATCAGTCAAGGCCAGCTCCCCCTCAATATCACTACCAGCAAGGTTTGTAACCACACCTTCTGACACAGTTATCAGCGATTTTGATACAAATAATTTGGTGAGTCCTGGGACTTGTCTTGAGAAAATCATGAGTCCCTGTCCAGGATCATTGAATCTCAGTTTAAAATCAACATGTCCCTGGGTCTTTATGTAACCACACAGTTAATCTGAAGACAGACTCCAAAACTCTGTATTACATTTACTGAAATAAAAATTAACATCTCCTTCTATTGTCAAGCACAACAAAGACTCGAAGAAATATGAGTCGTTAAACAACAGTTACAGGAACAGCCACAGAAATCACACAAACCGGAAATTCTACAAAAACATCTTCCGATCGATCAATCAATCATTGCCTCTAATATGGGATGCATACCACAAATTATTTTGCATCTTTGGGAATTATTCTGCATCAGGGATGCAGGATGCAGATGTAACAAAATCACTTATTTATGCCTTGAAGGTCATAATACACAAATCTTATTAAACAATTCTTATCAAAACCTTCCCCAAACAGCTACAATTCAAGAAAGTATAATATTGAATATATTAAATTTACCCAAATTATATTAAGTTGTTTGACCATACCAGTACGTCCAATTTTTTTTGACTTGATAATTAAACAACATTAGCAGATGATGTCATCACTCAGATTTAAGTTTCCTTTGGAGATATTTGCTGACCAATTTTTTCCATGGAATTAATGATACCATTAATTAAGTTGCATTCCCAGATGACTTCCTGATTTCATTATGGAGACAGCAATTTTAAATGCCAGCCATTTTCTCTGTTCAAGAAATCTCTCATTAACACTCCTCACAATAATAATATTATTTTCATGAACTTTCTATACCCTTTAACAACATTACATCTTTCAACATTAATACTAAAATCTATTCTTTACAATCAAAACAGCTGGACCTAGGTTTCCTCAAATTCCTCAAAACTGGGTTCCAATCCCACAATTCCAGTGGCAGCCAAATATTGCTCACTTTCAAGTGGCACCAGGATGGAACACATAAAGGTTAATATCACTCAGTCAATCAAAGTATAGTAATCATAGACTATTATTTTACTTAGTGTTAAATTTTATCATATGAATGTACAACTGCAAAATCAGTTTCCAGGGCGGTAGGTAGGTTTTTAGTAATGAGGGAACATTATTGAGAGTGCCGAAGGGACAAGCCTTGTAGGTTTGTTCTGGGGGTATCTTCCCACCAGATAAATTTGGAGGCTCTGAAATGTTATTTTCAGCACTTGTCATGAGATATGTCTCTGAAAAATCAACCTTGAATATGAAAATGGCAATCAACAAATTATTGCAAGTCACTATAATCAAAATAACCGAGTCTAAAGACAACAAATCCATCCAAAGACTTGATGTGTCTGGGTTAACAGGTCCAGGGGGGCAGTTGCCCCCCTTGCCCTCCTGCTAGCTACAGCTTTGGTCTCCTAGAAGCAATTATCAGAATTCATTTCGAAGGCCTTAGCAAAGGAAAGGAGCACATTAATAGTCAATGGAAGGCCATAATTCATTTTGGTTTCAATTCTGTACCACAAAGCACCTAGGACTAACTAAATACTACCACTGGATGGTACACTAATCTTGTAAGGTAGCCCCCACCAGTTTTTCATTTTTAAATTTTCCGCTCATGGCCTTTGTGGTTTAAAAGGTGGGTAATGCATGCTATCCACCGAATAAATCACTGTCTACTAGATAACTCTGTTAGTTTCCCTAATATTTATTCAATGGATAGTGATTTATCAAGTCGAGAGCACTGCTATCCACCTTGTGAACAACTGGGCTTAGGGTTCAAAGAAAAAATGTGTTAGTAAAGCTCACACCTGGACCTACATATGATGATTCTTAGTTTGATGTGTAATCTCTTGGCTTCCATGTCTCGGCAAAATATGCAACTAGAAGAAATAAAGTAAGAATCAAGGTGGCCGATTTCATTAGGTTTTTATACTAAGTACAACACATCTCTTATGAAATTCAAAATGCTGTCTCTTTCAACAGGTGATGGTTCTGATGACATGACCCAAGTTAACCGGTTGAGAATGTGATGAAAGCAAAGTTGCATTTGCTTTGAAATTTAAAAAAAGACATTTCAAGGTTTTACAAGCTGATGTTGATAAAATCTGTCTCTAAGATATTTATTTTTAACTTTTGGAACATTTTTTTGGAAATATTTAATATTTTTTTTAAGTATGGTTATTAGTTTTACTTCAAAAAAAAATAGTTAAAAATAATTAAAAATATTAATATATTTTGTATTGAAATTTGATTGAAAAATAAAAACCTTTCCATAATTTAAAGTCAAGATTCCTTTGGTTGAAGAAATGCACCAACTTCCTGATTTCTGTGGTATGGAAAATCAGGCATTTCATTAATTAATTAAGAAAAATACCACTATCTAGTTAATACAAAAGAATTATGAAAAGAGAGTAGTCCACTAAAAGTACGTAAGCACACGACAATGGAAAGATTTCAGAGGATAGCTGCCTGGGACTTGAAATACCGTTTCGCTAGGGACTTAAATTTATTGAAGTCTTTAATGGCTCTAATATTGGAGGGGAGGGAATTATAGGCATGGGTACCATTACAGGTAATCCGAAAAATGCCCTGGTACTTGGTGGTTTTGGCCAGAGGCAGCTGTAGCTGATCACATTGTCTTGTGAGATGGGAGTGGAGTTGGTGAACGAGCCTAAATTCACTCAGCAGATAAGAAGGTGATACACTTATAGAAAAGGATAGATTTAAGGAAGTTACGGCATGCTTGCAAATGGGGTCAGCTAAATATGGCAGAAAGTTCATCTGACCGTTAACCGCATGGCCCTCAATTATACATGCAGCAAGGTGATTTAGCTTGTTTCAGTAGGATTTACTACCCTGACCACAACTATCCCAAAAAACTGCGCAACCGTCAAATAAGGGCAGAACCATCATATTACATAATGTAATACAAGGAGACTTAGGTAAGACTTTTACGAGTGTGACGCAGTAACGCCAGTCTACAGGACTCAGATGTTCTTGCCTAATACTGCTAGGCTAACAGTTACTGCTCTTTCCAGGACAAAGTTTCATCCATAGTTACACCAAGATATTTAAAAGTAACTACCCTCTCTAAACTAGCGTTATTGGTCACAACCAAAAACAAAAAATGTCAACTACATTAAGCCTCTGGTGGGTACCTATCAGCATCATTTGAGTCTCGGAGACATTAAGCATCAAGTAGTTGGATCAGAACCAACTTATCAATGTATCGAGATCAGTTGAAAGCCAAGACTCAATTTCACTAACAGATTTACCAGCGAAAAAAAATAAGAGTATCATCGGCATAAAGCTCTATACATTATAAATAGGAGCAGACCTAAAACACTACCTTGAGGGACCCCAAACTGAATTGGCATAGCTTCAGACATAGTACCATTTACACTGATGTGAGGAGAACCATGAGGCGAACCATGGTATGGTAGACAGATTAAAACTGAACAGGGATAACTTATTTAACATAATATTGTGATCTAGAGTGTCAAACGCCTTACTAAGGTCTAACAAGAATGCTCTTAAAATCGGTGTTTAGTCTCACTTGCTTGGAGACTCAATAAGAAATGAGGTGATTAATTTTTACAAGAAACAGGATTTACTTGCTAAAGGTTTTTTCACTTCCTACTTTGATTTATTTGTTTCCGAATTGATTTAGTACGCGTGTTAGCCACGACCAGAAATACATCTGTGGTTGCAGGGTATGCGCATGTATAAAATTAAAAAATTATTCGCCGGCGATAAAAAATGTGATGAGAACATGGTGCGCCATTTCAATTATCGCAGAAAATAAACCGCACGCTCATCACAAGACTCATTTGTATACAATAAAAGGTTGCATTCCTTTCAGCCACACTTTTTTCGGATTTGGATAATCCAGATTGTTTGGATTTTCATGCTAGCTGGAACAAAATCTGAATTAAGAGTGATCCATACAATAGCTGCCTGCTGCTCTGATATTCTTCTCAATTTCAACGCATATATAGTTTTTATTTCTTTCCACTAAATTAAGCATCTTCTTGTGGAGAAACAGAAAGAAAAGTAACTCTTTAACTAGTGGTGGTTCATACTGGGACTCATCAACTTTAAATTATCTGCCTGGAATTTGATTCAAGAAAATTCAGAAGACAACTACGAATTCTCAAGTGTTGACATTGGAAACTATAGTTTTTTGGTGAGAAAATCCAAGCGTTTTCACTTCCTTACGGAGTTAGAGTTAAATTGGAACTTGAGTTTAATATACTACAATCCTTTAGTGGCATAGGACAATAAAGTATAAATAACTTTTGCCTGAATTAAACTTGACCTGCCGTGTTTATTGATGAACGAGCACATTCTTGAGATCGAAAAGCAGTTTCAGTAAATGGAACAAAAACCTGAAACCAGATTGAGATACCAATCAAAATGATCTAAGTGCAGAGGTGGATCATTCAGATTGCAATCTTAGATTGGTTTAGTCCTCAGTGGAAAAAAAAAATCAAATTTCAGATTGCAAAATCCAGATTTAGCTTGGTCAAAAGGAATGCAAGTTTACAACACTCACACTGAAAGGTTTGTTAATTAAGATTCTCCTTTTTTTCTTTTCTGACTATTGAAGTGTTCACTCAAAGTAACCAACGCTTTCAAGCGATAGAATTCGTGGACCGACCCGTTCTGGAAAAGCTCTTACTTTAATCTTTCCTAAGTTTTCTTCAAAAAACATGCATGGCTCTGGTCCCGCAACGATTCTTATTCCCAGTTTCCACGGTCACCGTTAGGAACGCCTGGGACCACAACTGTTGATTTGTATACTAAATACGAAGAAAATAAAACTGCTTGCAGATTACGAGTCTTGCTGCTTGCGCAAGCAAGACTAAAAAAACAAGCCCAGTAAGCAATCCGTTATCAATGTTGTGAAGAAGAGTGTTAGTTGCATGTGTTAGACAGGCAGAAGTTGAGTGAAGGGAGCAAAAACCAGATTGG